TCATCTGAACAAACCACAAACACAACAAATCATTTGGACAGCAGATTTATTTCTCCAAGCAGACGTTACAAAGAGTTTTACTCAGAATAAAAATAAACGAGAAGTGGGAAACCCTTTAACACATTCAAACTAAATAGAAGACTAAATGATCCTCGGACACAGGAGGAGGCACTGAACAGGGTTTATCTGGACCTTCATCAGGTTCTGAGTCACGAACACCAAGATGAAGGACTCAGGCAGCAGAAAACAGGAAACAAGAAGATTTAGTGTCAGAACCAGCTGAATGTGAACAGAACATAAGGTCCACTCAGGCTCTGGACTCCAGAGTCCAGGCTCTAGAGTCCAGCTCGACAAACAGTCACAGGACTTTGGGAGTGCTGAGTTTAGGTCACTTGTGTCAGGGTCAGTTTGGCAACCTCAGTCGGAGGATGGATGAAGACTGAAATGAAGGTTTGTCTTCCTCCAGGGTAGTTCACGTCAGTTTTTACTTCACATTAAATATTTGGATTAAATGGATGTCTGTTCGTACAGTCCAACAGTCACTGTCTGGTTCCCTCAAACCATCAGGAACCATCAGGTTCTGCTCACCTGACCAGAACCTGACACCTGGTGAGGGCTTTAGCCCAAATAGTTTTTCTCCATTCATAAACACATTTTAATAAATATTTGTAAACAAACCTGTTCTAACTAAATGTTTTATGACCCAGCTGCGCCACAAGGCGGCAGGATGTCCCCAAGAGACGTCCGTCCATCCAGCGTCTGATGAACTGGGTCATGACGAGCAGCAGAGATTATAAAAAGATGTTTGTTAACAGAAGGAAGCATCACTTTAAATCTAGAACCCGATCAGAGTGGATTACGTCATATTACGCAGAAAATAGAAATGTACAGCAGACAAAAGTCCCAGAGAACTCCTGCTGGTTCCACTGATCTCTCTTTACATTCAGAATATTTTGACCCCGGCACAAAAAGTTTTGTTATGATGATCTCAGCCGTGTGGTCGAGGTCCTGGTCTCTGTGAGTTTTATAAAGATAGTTTAATTCTAATTTAAGACCAGTTTCCTACTCAGTGTGAACACTGAAAACTAATGAAAGTTGATCTCTGAAGAGTCAGAGTGAAACCGTTTGTCTTCAGCTCAGGTTACCTCCCGATGTGCTAGGTGACGGTGTAGAGTTCCTTCTTGTTGTTTTCGCAGAGTGTGTATCCACAGAGACGAGGTCTCCAGCTCCAGCTCCAGCCTCTAGTCCAGCCCAGCTCCTCTGCGTTCTTCTCCTTCGGGGGCAGCAGGAACACCACGCAGCTGGCCACCAGGATGTGCCACAGAGAGTGGGTGTAGTAGTAGTTGTTCTCCGTCTCAGCGAAAATGTACAAGCAAACCCCGACAAGGGCGCAGAGCGCTCCGGGGATCAGGAAGAAGACCCAGCGCTGCCAGGAGGGTGGGTAGCAGTGTCTGCGACGGACCCCCCGGTACACCTGTCAACACCGCAGGGCTTTAGCTTCACGCCATCCATGTTTAGACCTTCACGTACACAACATGCTGATGCTTACCCAAGTGATGACCATGAACAGGATGGCACAGAGGATGGGGCCCAGCAGGTTCCACAGACCCTTCCGGTCCAACTGCATGGACATGGCTATGAGCAGAGCTCCGAGCATGAACAGAGTCTACAACACGAGGAGGAACGAGACGATCAGACAGGAACACCAGACAAAGGAAGACAGGACAGGAGACAAATGTCTCTTACGTATTTGACCGTGTGCGTGACACGAGCCATGCACAGAATGGTGACCCAGATGGCACAAACGGAGCCCAGGAAGTCACAGTACTGCAGGGCGTCGTAGTCCATGATGCACATAACGGCCACGCCCGGCTGGTCACACGCATGGTAGAACTACAAAACATGCAGGGGGATCAGATCCTGAACTTGAATTACAAGAACTGGTGAAGATAAAGGTGTTTGTTTTACCGTAGAGAAGAACATGGTGAAGAGGTAGACTGCAGCCTCAGTGACGTAGGAGCGTTTGAAGGCCACGACGATGGCAGGCAGGAAGAACAGGTTGCTGAGCGTCAGCAGCAGGGTTGCCGTCACCTGACGGAGGTACGACTGGGCCATGGAGCCGTCCGTGCAGCCCCACCCTCTCCAGCCTGCACACATGGAGACAAAGCAACCTGTGAGGCTGAGCACCTGAAGGCAGCACCACTCCGAGGCTGGATGAGCGGGTCGTACCTGTGGAGCAGACACAGGCGGCGTACAGGTAGCTGTAGGACCGGAGCAGTCTGCAGTCACCGTGCGGCCCACAGTCCTCCACACAGGCACTGACGAACACCTCCGGGACCACCGACACCACCGACGAGTTCCCACAGTCACTGCTGCAGGGAACAACACATTTATGTCCCCGTCAGAAACCAGCTGTAAACAGTTTCTACAAAGAGAAGCGAGCAGACGACCTGTTGCAGGTGAGCTGCAGAGTCAGGAACCACGTTGCCGACTGAGGAAAAGGCAACCTGAGGACAGCTTTAGGAGCGCTGACGTTCACTCCAACACTGTACCCTTCAAACAGAGCTGTGGGCGGAGAACACACATTTAGTTCTCCAATTAAAATACTACTAAATAAATGTGTATACTTTATATTTTAATGAATCTTTCTTGTGTCCTCTCCTGACATTACAAATATTTTAAAGCTTCTAAACAGGAGTGCACTTTGAAGGTCACATCACTTTCTGCAGTGTCTGGTACCGAGCACAGTTCTTGATGTGGAGAGGGTGAAAAAGTCTCAGTCATAACTCTGAACAGATTGTTTTTCTGAAGGAAAATACCGAAATGTACAGAAGCACCACCTTCAAACAAATTATACTTCCATTAAAGTACCAACAACCAACATGAAGGTTACAAGAAAACGACAAGCAGGAATTTGAACAGTGAACGTTTGTAGTTTTTAGATTAGTGTTTTTCTGGATTGGAACTGAACAGGGAATGAAGTAACCCTAAATGTTTTTGGCGTAAGATTCATTCAACCTTTATTTAGACAGGTAAATCCCACTGAGCCTCATATTCAAGTGGAGGAGTTACTGTGGAGAAGAACAGAGGGCGTTTGTCTTTTCTTGTTTGAGACAGAGCAGAGTGACAGAGAGTGGCGGGTAGGCCTGTCACGATAACAAATTTTGCTGGGCGATTGTCTCAACAATTATTGTGATAAATGATAATATTGTTTGAAATTTGATATAATTAGTAGTTACTGTCAAATTTAAGAAGTGTAGATGAACAGATGCTGGGATATATTCATCATTTAACGCGGGTTCCTCATTTTTCTGGACTGAATAAAACGTGCATTGAATTTAAGGAAAGGCAAACGTGAGACGTCATTTAAATTTGACCCATCAAAATGAATGCAGTCATTTATTTACAGAATCAAATTTAACATCAAACATTTACATTAATTTGGCAAATTATGAAAATAACAATATAAGCAATCAATCAGGAAAAATCATACGGCCATGATTTTTCGTTGCTGCACCACAAACATTTATAAAACTGTACAACTATGATCTTTTACCCACACGGATGTGAATAAGCACTTTACACAGACATTTCTAAATATCTGGGAGAATTTCTACTTGATAGAAAGTTAAAGATGAAAGAAGTTAAAGGGAGTAAGATTGAATGGGAAGGGAGGAATGTTCACCAGAACCGACACTCTCCATCAGAAGCCCAGCTCTCCTTCGGTACGCTTGGTAGGAAACTTGATCCATTACCTTTCTGAAGATTTATCAGCAGATATGGAATTCCGTTAACGCTACCTGTCCAGCGTCTCCTGATGGTGGCTGTAGCTCGTCAGAAGTAGTGGCTAGTGAAAGTTATAATCCCATGGAACTCGGAAGAGCCTTTTGTCATGTCAAGATCATCCCGTCTCTAACAGAACTTGAGCAGAACCAGCAGAAAACTCTCCAGCACTCCAACAACTTCAGAACTCCAGAACTCTGAGAACTCCGAAAACTCTAGAAGTCTGACAACTCTCCAACTCTGTGTAGACCAGGAAGTACTGA